GAGGGGGAGGGGGAGGGGAGAGGGAGAGAAAGGGAAATAAATTAATCTCCCAGAAACCATAAAAACCCATCAATAGAAAGTCTGACTTTTTAAGCTTCTCTTTTTCCTAGATTCCATTTTTTAAAAGCACAAGTCAAAAACTGGTGCTTTGAAAGGAATATTTTGCAAATGAAATTGAGAACTCCTGGGGTGTTTACACATCTGCCTCACTGCCCCTGAGACCATGTTTTGAATGAACTGTGCAGGTATTCCATCTCTGGATAATTTTACATTAGGGCAAAAGATCAGTTACAGTTAGTGCCGCCAACTGGACAGTTTAAGTCCTCCTCAAAATGGTCACACCATCGAATTAAGAGTCGTTGCAGGAAAGTCCAATAGCGCAATTCATGCACACTTGGAAATTGCCACTATTTTTCGAGAATGTTGAGTAAAAATGATAATAAACCAAGGAGATCTCAGTTTGAACACAGAGGTGATTTTAGTTGATGTTAAAAAACAGCCTCATTAAAACTCACCTTTGCCCCCATCATGGACACTGGCCCAGGTTTGAATTGTGGGTGTTGATTTATGGACCTGTATAGGGTGGTTTCCCAAGCACAGAAATTGTATTTAGCAACAGAATTCAGTCCCTGAATTCCAAAACTTTCTGGTCCAGAGTCCACTAAATGTCAGTTGGGGAAGGAGTTGGAGCATACCAAGAAACTCCCTGGTGAAACCTGAGGGGCAGGATCTAGCAGGAGCTGGCCATGGTGAGCACTGGGTGCCTGCAGGTACCTTCAGGTACCTGCAGCTGCCAAATACCCGGTGTCACTAGAGCCCCCAGCCCTACACAGAGCAGAGAGCTGGTCACCCTCTTCCAGTCCAGATGCTTCCCTGGAGCCAACCAGTTACCTCTTTCCTGCGTGTCCCTCTGGACTGTGTCCCACACGTGGCCCACACTTTTAACACACGTGGAAAATGCTGTGCCCGCTCTCGCACACTTGAACTGTTCAGTTACTTGATCTTGAGGGTTCCTCTATCAGTGCATCCACTTTTATCTCATTTTCCAAAACTCTTGTTTGGTTTTCTGTTGAAGGGATGTGCCACAATGTATGTAAACTCTCCTGTTTAAAAACAGGAGTATGTAGATTGTTTTCAGGATTCAAGTTTTTGCTACAATGTAAATCGTCGTTATACGAATATTTCTTTTCCAAAATATTGTATACTGGCAGTTTGTTTTTGGTGATTTCCATTCCATGGTATAAATACACTACAATTTATTTTTTCTCCTGTAGCAATTTCATTGTTTCCTGTTTGGGGCTTTTATGAATCAAGCTGGAGTAAAACTGCTGGGTCATGTTTGTGTACGGTCAGCTTTAGAAGATCTTGCCAAATAGCTCTTGAAATTGTTTGGATAAGCATACTCCCCGCCAGCACTGTTGGAGAGTTCCACTTTCTCCACATGTTTGCTGGAGCATGATGCTATCAGAATTCTCCATGTTAGCCATTCTAGGTGTGGAATAGTATTTCACTATAGTTTCCATTTGCATTTCCCTGATCACTGATGAGTTGGATGACTCCTTGGATAGCCACTTGGTTATCCTCTGAGTGAGCTGCCCAGTCACGTATTTTTCTGTTGGTTACTTGTCCTTATTGATTTGAAGAATTCTTTGCATATTCTAGATACAACCCCTTCACATTGCAATTCAGATTGCAGTGTACGGAATGTGTCCTTCCCAGATGCAGATGTTGAAGTCCTAGCCTCCTTTATGATAAAATTAGGAGGGAATTAAGTAGTGATGGTGGATCTGAAATTAGGGCCTTTGTTAAGGACACCCCAAGAGCTCTCTCTCTCTGCTCTTTGCCATAGGAGCTTATAGTGAGAAGGCAATTTGCTGACCTTTATGCCAGATTTGAAACTTCAGGTACCTGCATCTTGGATCCCCAGCTTTTAGAATTGAGGGAAATAGATTTCTATTGTGTATAAACCTCCCGATGTATGGGACTGTGTTACATCTGCCGAGTTGACGGGGATGAAGATGTGTGCATTGAAAATATCCTCCCTCTCTCTGGATTCCCATTCACTCTCTTAACAGTGCTTTCAAATGAACAAAGCTTCTTGATTTTTAATCAGTTTATCAAAACTTTTCTTTGTAGTCAATGTCCCTTTTGGTCCTTTATGGATATTTTATGAAATTTTTGTCAATTCTAAAGTCAGGTGAATATTCTCTTATGCCATCTCCTAGGTGTAAACTCACCTGGAAATAATTATTGTCTATGATGTGGGGGAACAAGATTTGTTTTTAAAGTGACTACTTAGTTTACCCAGCACCATTTATCAGAGGGAGCCTTTCAACCTTTCTGACATCTGCATGATTGGAGCAAATCGATACCATTGGGATAACTTTTTTTTTTTTCCCCCAACCCTGTGCTGAGGATGGAACCCTGGGCTCTGGGCAGGCCAGCAAAGCACTGTACCACTCAGCTCCATTACCAGTCCCTTAACTGTGTTTTCATCAGAATAAGCCTTGAGAGTAGTTTGAGTATATTCGCTTGTGCCCATCCATGGACAAAGTGCTAAGCAAATCTCCTCTCCTTCTTTCCAGGTTTTACAGGGAAAGGATGTTGTAGGGACAGATGAGGCAAGACACGGAAGAAAGTAGGAAACAGTTTTATTTGTTGCAGCTGGGTTCAGAGGGCACAGCTTTTGCTGTAATCAATCAATCCCCTGAACCCCGAGTCCAGGGAGTTTCAGAGTTTTATACCCAGTGTGTAAGGGGAGGGGCTCAGAAGTTCACAGTCTGCAGAAGTTCACATAAAAGCAGCCTTTTCTCTCACTGTTCTGGGCAAGTTAACCCTTCAAGGACAACACCTGAGAAGGGGAGAGCCTCTTCTTCCCTTTCTTTCCTCCCCCTGCCAGCTGTTACCATGGAGTCCAGTTGTAAATTATCTTAGAAATGTAGACATCTCTGTGAAGCCCAGCTCAAGCCCAGAGGCCTTGTTTGCACATTTCTTCAAAGTACTATACTGGATATGTTTGTGAAAACTAGTAAGGGGGTGTCCAGCACCTGGAGTCCTGGTATCTTCTTGGCCAGTGTCCAAGTAAAACAGAGCGACATGAAAATAGGAAGTTTATCTATCTATTGAACTCTTTTTCAGAGACTCTTTCGCTGACAGTGCTAAAATCAGACATGGTGGAGATTTCTGGAGAAGCCCAGTTAAGACTTTTATGTGGAGAGGGGGTGCCACTTCAAGGAGGCAATCAAAGCTTTCGGGTGGCACACCCTGGAATGGCTTCAGGGGGGGCCTGGTGGAGTCGGGGCCCCTCCAGGGGTTGGTCCATTTCTATCACATTCTTCTTCCTGTTCTGTCTCAGGGTATTTCTCCCTGGCTGCTCAATCTATGCTTCCCTGCAGTTCTCAAAGCCCCATCTGCTCTCCCTCCCCTTGGTCGGTTCTGACACCTCTCTTGGGACATCCTCTCCCTGCTCGGGATTCCTCCCGACACCTGACATCTTCTAGAAACCTCTCCTGACCACATCATCCCTCACGGCTCTTCCTCACTCCTACAGCTCCTATTTTTTCCTGAATTGCTGGTTCTGGCCTTGGTATCACTACTAAATATTTCATGGATGCTTGTCTTATCTCGCAAGCTAGAGACCCAGATATGCAGGGGGTCAAAGCGCCTCTCTTACTCAAAGCAGTTGCTCCATAAATATTTCATGGAGGACGAAGGAAAGAGTGGCCGAGGTGGCAGGGAGTGCAGGGCCCCAGGAGTGCGGGCCCCGGGGTCTGAGAAGCACAGGCAGGGCTCATGGTCACTGGGGGTCAGACTGCACCCCACCTTCCGTCCCTCAGGCACATTCTGGGTGCCTGGTGCTCCTGTGCCCCAGAGTTGGGGTCTGCTTATTGAGAACTTCCTTTTTCTGTTTGAACTGGAAAAGACACCCTTTCATGGGAATAGCGAGGGAGTGCAGGATGAGGAGGAAAATCAGTTCTGAGTCAGACTTTTTTTTTTTTTGGTCTGTTTTGTTTTAATTGAAAATGGAAGAGCTATGACTGACCCGGTCCTTGAATCAGAGAACAAGCCTTCAACCAAAGAAGCTGTTGGAAGAGGAGGGACCCAGACCAGCCCCTCGGGGCTGCTCAAAGACACACTGTCTGCATAGGTAAGTCAGAGCACCTACAGGGGGGGACAGATGTTAGTTAAACCAGACCAGTGCAACGAGCCCTCAGTGGATGTCATGATTCATGCTTGCGCTGGCTGGCGCGTAGGGAAGAGCCGTTACGTTGCAGGTGAAGTGAGACAAATGTGGGAAGACATTCCAGTCATTTGGGGGATTTTTGTCACGGATTCCAGACAGATGATTTTGGAGTTCTGTCCTTGGGTCTTGACAGATATGCTCCACTTAGCTTCCCCGAGGTTTCTAGCAGAATGGAAGGAGTGATCTGCAGGTTTTTCCTCCCTATTTAAAAACACTTCCCCAGACTTGAAAAGTTGAGAAAGTAAATATTGCCAACTCAGCCTTCGCTGCTTCTTTTTTGGTGACTTCTAAGGAGTATGCAGCGTAAAAATAAAGCCCATGGTCTGGTTTTGTGGGTGACTTGAATCAGGCACAGTCACCAACCGCCAAAGAAGGGGTTGCCAACTGCCAAAACAAAATCCAAAGAAAAAAACAAACCCTCCCGCCCGGAAAACCCCTAAGGCCCAAAATGGAAGGCAACAAGCAATCCCGAAGAAAAAAAACCAAAAACCCAAAACCAAGGGCCCAAAGCCTCAAGTCCCCCAAGCCTCCCCGAAAAAGGAAAAGGTTAAACCCAGGAAGAAACCAACCCTGAAAACAAAACCCCAACCTCCCCGAACCAAAGCCCCACCCAAGAAGGAATGCCGAAAAAAAGGCCGCCAAAAAGAAAAGGGGCCCGGGAAAGAAAAAAACCCAAAAAACCGGCCGCCCGGCCCAAAGGCTGACGGAGGTCAAGGGTTATGCTTGGGTTTAGGAGCCCAAGAGCCCTCAGCTCCTGCTTCTTCATACAGCCTTGGGGCTGGGGCCTCCTCCCTGATCCTGGCCCAGACCCAATCATAGCCCAGGCAACAGATGCCATGCACCTCCTGCCAGCCAAGAAGTTCCCCAAATAGTGCCAAATATGTGCTAGTGAGATGCCCTGCAGGCTGAGTGTTCCTAACCAGAAATACATAGGTGTATTGGATTTGGAATTTTGAAGGGTATTTTGGAATATGTGCACACACATACAGAGAATTCTGGGGACAGGTTGCACCAGATTCACTTATGTCTGACATACATAGCCTGAATGTAATTTTATACCATATTTTTAGTGTACCTATGTTTTGACTGTGACATAACACGAGGTCTGGTATGGAAATTTCCACTGCGGTGTCATGTGGACGTCCAAAAAGTTTCGGATTTTGGAAATTTCCAGTTTCAGATTTTCACATTGGTTTCATGATCTCTTTTTGTTATGTGTTTTTGCAGTACTGAGGGTTGAACCCAGGGCTTTGCGAATGCCCGGCAAGTGCTCTGCTCCTCGGCTGCATCCCAGGCCTAGATTTTCGTACTGAGGGGAATGTGCAACCTGGAGTCCCAGTTTTGAGGCAGACCTGGCTGTTCATGATCTTCAGCTACAGACTCAGCACAGAGTGCCCGCAGTGCCCCTTGAGGTGTGTCAAGGACGGCTTCAGTTCCTCAGCGAGGATTTCCATGGGGGCAGGAATGTTTGTCTGGTCCTCAGTTACCTAAGACATATGAAGGGAGTTTCTGGAGTGGGATAAACTGAGGGTGGGAGTGGACCTACCCTGAGGAAAACATCTTTGTTTCAAGGAGAGATTCTGCAAGAAAGGGAAGAAGAGAACCTCCCCGGACCCCGACAGGTCATGGCCACCATGCCCCATACTTCACAAGCACTTTCTCACGTGAATCCTTGCAGCAGTCCTTATAAAATAGGTATGATTCCCATGGGTTGGTGGAGAAGACTCAGAGAAGATAAGTGTCTTATGACTGTCAACCAAGAATAAGATCAGTCTCGTCAACAGCAAAGAGTATCACATTCATTTGGGTCTAATTAGGATTGCAGTCTGGGAAAACACAGATTCAAGCAATTTTGAAAAGATCCTCCAAGATTTTACAAAACAGTGGCTGTATTTGCAGCTTTAAACCTCAAGGGGGTTCTGAGGTTATGTCACTTGTTGGTCAGGAGCTATGATTGTATGGATTAAGCTGTCTTTAAAGAAAGGGATTGTGTGTGCTCTCAGTTGCTGTGTGGTCTGGGGAAAAGCTCCTTGTACAGAAGGTCAGCAGAAGTTAATACACAATGTTTCAGAAAACTGCTCTTTGGTCCAGTTTGAAGATCTGTGAATAACACATGTGTATATGTGTGCCTGGAACACAGCTCAAAGGTCAGCTGCAGACATTGTCCTAGACCAGATTTAACAAATGCCTTATAACTCTATTTTAAGTGCCCCGAACCATTGCTACTCCATTTTGATTTTCTTTTGTGCCATTTTTCCATTACTGTGTCAAAATACCTGAGATAATAAACTTAAAAGGAGGAAAGTTTTATTTTGGCTCAAAGTTTCATAAATTTTGTTCATGGCTGTTTGACCGTGTGCTTTGGTGGTGGCACAGTACGTCATTATAGAAGCATGTGATGGAGGAGGGCTGTTTACCTCATGGAAGTAGGGAAGGCAGGGTGTTGGGGAAAGGAGAGACGAGAGAAGAGGAGGGGCCAGGGTCAAATATTCCCTTTAAGAGCATGTCCCCAATGACCCAACTTCCTCCCATTAGGCCCCACCCCATAAAGGTTCCACTACCCCCTATAGTGCCACAGGCTGGGGACCAAGTCTTTAACACAGAGTCTTTAACATTCAAGATCCAAACTAGTATTTCTTTTAAATGACAAAGACCCTACCCTTGATCCAGCTTTAATTAGGCCTTCAATCCCTTAGGGTCCTGTCCTGGTCCGCTGAGTCAGGTTTTAATTAAGAATTCCACTGGGTCAGTTAATGAAAGTCCCCACCCTTGATATCTGATCCCCCATCCCCTACCCTCAACATCTTACCAGCCACCTGGCCCTCAGCCACAGTCCTGTCCAATCCCTTAGCTTGGATGTTCCTCCTCAGTTATTTTCCACCCACTGACCCCTGTTCCCCCCTTTCCTGTAAGTCTCCTTGTACTTACTGATTTACAAGTTAAGCCCCACCTCCTTGCCCTACGGTCAGCTCCACTGTGGGTCCCTTAACACTCCGTCTTACCCCTGTGAAAATTTTTGCTTAATAATTGCACAGCCAGGAGCAGGTGGGGCTGGGACTGGAACTGCTGCAGGCCTCCAATCCTGTGCTCTGCACCAGGCTGCCCTTGTGGTGCTGTTGGAGCTCAGAAATGACACCCCCAAGACTGGCACTCGGACATGCTCAGAGGCCTTATAGGATACTCAGAATCAAGGTCCCTCTGATCTTAGGTATTTCTTCCATTCCAAGGTCAGGGAGGGCCTCTCC